GGGGGGGGGGGGGAACAAGAAGAAATATTTTTAAGTTGTGTGTAAAGAAGGTTAAATTCCAATACCCACAGCTTGCTCAAGTCAACATTCCTTGCTCATTAAGCCCTGCACACTTAAAATGTGCATTTTTGTCCTTTTAGAATAACACTAAATTATACTCCCAAGTAGGCTTGTTGAAGTTTGAGCCCAGCTGCCTGTTTAGCCCAGGCTGTGGCTAAACTTTGGACACTCACAAGTAATTACTCTGACCCAACCACAGTTCTCTCTAAAACTTTACACCATTTTTTTTCTCTTGGAGATAATGAAATTGTCTCTTTAAAAAAGGGCTGAACCCTAGGTAAGTCTGGAAGACACTTTCTAGCCCAGACACATAAGTGGTCTTGGGGAGTTCTTCCAGTGAAGAAATTTTCAGACAACTCTGTGGCTCCTCCCATGGACTCAAGAGCATTTTGTCCTTAGAGACCCACAAATGTGATACTACAAGGAATTGAGCCTCCATTTTCCTTTTCTGTCTAATTAAGGTCATGAAAAGCAAGTAGGCTGGGAAGGGCGTGGCATCCCATACCCAAGCAGTCCCTCCACCACGGAAGGCTATACTCACTGGCCTCCATGCAACTTGGAATAACCAAAGAAATGAAAAGTAAAACAATGCTGCTGGGAATGTAAATTGGGGATCCATTCATTAAAACCTTCCTGTAAGTTACACGTAGGTATTGGTTCAAATATGTTCATCGAGGCATTGTTGAGAAAAGAAAAATTATAAATGACCCACCTGGCTATCTGAGTTAGAGTACTATATAAACACAGTCGATAACTATGCAGCTGATTAAAACGAGGCAGTACATAGACATCAACATAAAACATTTAAAAACAGGTCTTTAAAAAGTCCCAGAGTAATATGTATAATATGACTGCATGTCTGAAAAACGTGGGAGGGATGTATCCTAAGCTGAACGATGACTGTCCATGGAGGACAAGATACAGGACACACTTCCTGCCCACAAATCCACAATGTTTGAAGCTTTTTACCAAGATTGCGGGCACTCTTCAGAAATGTTGCAGGTTCACCTCCAGGACATTATAATAAAGCAACTATCACAGTAAAGTGAGTCACACACTTTTTTGGTTTCTCATTGTACATAAAGGTTATGTTTATATTATACTGCATTCTATTAAGTATACAACAGCATTATGTCGAAAAATGCACATATCTTAAGTTATCAGTACTTTAATGCTAAAAAATCCTAGAGAACATCTGAGCCCTCAACAAGCTATTATCTTTTTGCTGGTGGAGGACCTGCCTCCATGCTGATGGCTACTGACTGATCAGGGTGGTGGTTGCTGAAGGCTGGGATGGCAATTTCTTAAAATATGACAATGAAGTGTGCCACATCAATGGACTCTTCCTTTCATAAAGATTTCTCTGTAGCCTACAATGCTATTTGATAGCATTTTACTCACAGTAGAAGTTATTTCAAAATGGAAGGCAACCCTCTCCAACCTGCTCCTGCTTTATCAACTATGTTTATGTAATAGTCAAAATCCTTTGTTGACATTTCGATAGTGTTCACAGTATCTTCACTAGGAGCAGACTGCATCTCAAGAAACCACTTTCTTTGCTCACCCATGAGAAGCAACTCCTTATCCATTCAAGTTTGATCATGACATGGCAGTAATTCAGTCACACCCTCAGAATTCACTTCTAGTTCTGTTGCTATTTCTACCACATACTACTTTCTCCACTGAAATTCTGAACCCCTCAGAGTCATCCATGAGGATCAGAATCAACTTCTATTTTGACCTCCTCCCAAGAATCATGAATGTTCTTCATGGCATCTAGAATGATGAATCGTTTCCAGAAAGTGTTCCATTTATTTTGCTCAGACCCGTTAGAAGAATCACTATCTCTGGCAGCTATAGCCTTTTGAAATTTATTTCGTAAATAGTGAGACTTGAAAGTAAAAATAACTCCGTGTTCCATGGGCTACAGAATGGATGTTGTACTAATAGCCATGACAACATTCATCTCCTGTAGGTCTCCGTCAGAGCTTTTGGGTGACCAGACATACTGTCAATGAAGAGAAATATTTTGAAAGTAATCTTAAGAGCAGTAGGTCTCAACAGTGGGCTTACAATATTCAGTAAACCAAGTTGTAAACAGATGTGCTATAATCTGAGCTTCGTTGTTTCATTTCTAGAGCACAGGCAGCATAGATGTAGCATGATTTTTAAGGGCCCTGGGATTTTCAGAATGGTCAATGAGCAAAAGTCACCAGCTGCATTACCCCTAACAAGAGAGTCAGCCTGTCCTTTGAAACTCTGAGGCCAGGCACTGACTTTTCTCTGCAAGGAAAGTCCTAAATAGCCTCCTTTTCCAAGAGAGGACTGTTTTTTCCCAACTAAATTGAAAATCTGTTACTTAGTGCAGCCCCCTTCATCAGTGATCTTACCTAGGTCTGAATAATGGCTGCAGCTGCAGCTTCTTTCATCAGACCAGCACTTGCTGCTTCACCTTGCACTTATGTCACAGAGATGGCTTCTTTCCTTAAGCTTCATGATCCAACCTCTACTAGCTTCCGACTTTCCTTCTGCAGTTTCATCACCTCTCTCAGCCTTCACAGAACTGAAGAGAGTTAGGGCCTTGCTCTGGATTAGGCTTTGGGTTAAGGGAATGTTGCAACTGCTTTGATATTCTGTTCAGACCACTCAAACTTTCTCCATAGCAGCAGTAAGGCTATTTCATCTTATCATTCATGTGCTCACTGGAGTAGCACTTTCAATTTCCTTCAAGAATATCCTTTTTAAATTCACAACTCGGCTAACGGTTTGGCACCAGAGGCCTAGGTTTTGGTCTGTCTTGCCTTTCCACATGCATCCTCACTAAGCTTAATCATTTCTAGGTTCTGATTTAGAGTAAAATATGTACAACTCTTTCTTTCACTTGAATACTTTTAGGCCACTGTAGGGTTTTTAACTGACCTGATATCAACATTGGGTCTCAGGTAATAGGGAGGCCCGAGGAGAGGAAGAGATGAAGGAAGGGTTGGTCAGTGGAGCAGTCAGAGCACACACAACATTTATCAGTTAAGTTCACCGTCTTCAGTGGATGCACTGCATAGAGTCCCAACATGATTACCATAGTAACATCAAGGATCACTGATCACCTAACTCGTATCATAGTAGTGAATAAGTATGAAATATCGCAAGAATCATCAAAATGCTACACAGAGACACAAAGTGAGCACACACTGTTAGAAAAAGGCTGCCATTAGGCTGGGCATGGTGGCTTACACCTATAATCCCACTTTGGGAGGCCAAGATGAGAGGAGTGCCTGAGTCCAGGCCGGGCAACTTGGTGAGACCTCATCTCTACAATAAATCAAAAAAATCAGCCGGACATAGTGGTGCGTGCCTGTAGTTCTGGCTACTTGAAAAGCTGAGGTGGAAGGATCGCCTGAGCCCAGGTTAAGGCTGCACTCTAGCCTGATGACAGAGTGAGACTCCAACTCAAAGAAAAAAGAAAAAGGCTGCCAGTAAGTAGACTTGCTCGATGCAGAGTTGGTTGCCATAAACCTTCAACTTATAAAAAATGCAAGTGCGATATCTGAGAAGGGCAGTTAAGCGAGGTGTGCCTGTATTACTTTTTAATTTTTTTAGAGCCAGTCCTATTCTGTTACCCAGGCTGGAGTGCAGTGGCACAATCATAGCTCACTGCAGACTAGGACTCCTGGGCTCAAGCTATCCTCCAGCTCAGCCTTAACGAGTACCTGTGACTACAGTACACGCCGCCATGCCCAGCTAGTTTTTTCATTTGTCGTATAGACAAAGTCCCACTAGGTTGCCCAGACTGTTCTCAAATTCCTGACCCCAAGCAGTCCTCCCACCTCAGCCTCCCAAAGTGCTGGGATTACAGGCATGAGCCACCATGCCTGGCCTTCCTGTATTACTTTTGTAAGCAGAAAAACACTGTTAAAAGTCACAACTAGTGGATATACTAGCGGAAAAACTTCTGATCAGGCCTAGGGGAGAAAACCGAAAATGGTCAAGTTATGCCAACAGTTACTATGTATCCTTTAAGATACAGGAACAACTTCTGTGATAAGCTACCTGGTGGCCTGGTGAGAAACCTGACAGGAAGGAAGTCCCTGCCTGATGGGTCCCAGGCTGGCTGCTTCCTTTCTGCAGCACTGCTGGGAGAGGCCAGCTAGCCTCCCTTTGTGGCACTCAGCACTTCTGAGGAAAACGGGGGATTTCAGGACAGTGTTTTGGGGTCCTTTTTAGTTAGCTAACTAAGGACTTAAATTATTAACGAAAACACTTACCTAAAATTAAGTCTCTTTTGCTTGTCTAGAAATAACCGTCAGAAAAAATGTTTACCTCACCATCACACAAACTGCTTTTCTGCAAGGTGGCCGGTGAGGGCAGAAACTCAGAAAGTACTGCTGTGAGGCCCTCTGTCCTTCTGGCCTAAAAAGCAGATACACCACCCTGCCCCCATCCTGCAAAGGAGAGGGTGCTGGAGAGAGGTCAGCAGAAGCTAAGCTGCATGAGCACGCTGGCCACGCGTGCCCCTCCCTTCCCATGGCTTTTCTAAATGCCAGCATTTTGCTCAGCTTCTGCCACTCACAAGCTCAGCTGTTCCTGGCAAGAGGTGGACAGAAGTAGTTTATGGTTTCATCAGATGACAATTGGATTTGTTAACATAACTACAGCCTTAGTGTAGAGTAATTTGTACAGCGAACGTCCCAACCAAACTTAGGCGACCTTCCAGGAGAGCAAGGCTGTGTTCCAATGCCCACAGATCCAGTGAGAGCAAATGTAAGCCTTTAGCACAGAGCTGGGCACACACGGGGTGCTTGTGGCAGTGGCAGTTACTACATCAAAGCACTGTCAGCAAAACCAGAACACCCGCTGTTGAACAGACGGCAGGCAGGAAGGAGCACTCCAGGGGAAGGGCTGCCCGTCTGCTTTCCGGCTACTGGACTGGTTCTATTTAGGGGACTCCAGTTGACCCTAAAGCATATACATGCATATCTCCCTTCCAAATATGTGCCAGAACAAGTCTTCGCCTCGGCGAACCAACGCGGAGAGCCAGGAGTGGTCACCACCAAATTTACTCTGAGAGAGCAGCACCACTCCATCGCAAGGCAGGAGCCAGTGTCTGCGAGGACACGAGAATAGTACTCAGAAACACAGCGGCGCTCAGGGAGGGGACAAGAGAGAGCCACGCTCTGTGCCTGGAAATCAACAGGCAGAGGCTGAGACACCTTTGGGCTTAGGGTGCCTAGGACCTCTTCAGAACAGCTGCCCAGGTCTGGAGGGTTTGATTTTGTTTGTTAAATTTTTTGGTCAAATTACTTGTTGACTTTTGTCACATTAATAAGGGGGCTAATTAAAACTATCATTTCTTAAGTGACAACCTCTGCTGCTTGGAGCACTCTGTTAAGGATTACGTTGTGCAGAGCAACTAGAGCCCACAACTTAGGGGACTCTCAGAAAACAAGCAAAAAGTCCAAATCACCTGTTCAGAGCTGAGGATGGGGACGGAGGACAGTGACAGGCCCCTGGCCTATTGGTGACACCTTCCTCTACCTGTGATGCTGGCACTGCTTAGTTTTATAACATCAAGAACATGCCTCGACCAGGAGAGGGAAGATTTATGTTCAATATCTACTCAGCCTAACTCCTTCTCTACTGGCTTTTGGGGCCACTGGGTTGCCAGTTGATCATGCTGTCCCCAGCTGTCACCACTTTGACTAGAAAGGCAGAGAGGCTGCGGCTCCACCCCAGCTCCACAGAGCTAAGCAAGGGTGACAGAAGAGACCTGAACAACAGTTACCACATAATCAAACATGAACTACAGGTAAGACTTGAAATGCAGCAGTTCAACTTATGCTCTAAAAAAGCCACCACCTATGACTTTTCTGTGTGTGGCCCAGTCACTATCTGAAATATTTAAGAATCTTCTACCTGCTACTGGTTAAGCAGCTTCGGAGCTTGTTTTTCTCACAGCATTTCTTTGTTTACTGTAGAACTCGCAGCAGAATGACTGTGCTGCAGATCTGGGCAGCCAGGTTCTTGCTTCCTCACTATGTGCTAACTCTAAGTGGCAGGCTTGCAGCACAAATGTCACCACTCTGCCCCTCCAATGTCACACTCTCACTAGACATCAACAACCAACTGTCCCTTTCCATTAGACCCAGTTCTTGTCTCAAAACTGTCATGCCCTTCAGGCACCCAACATCAATCCATCAGAGCTGTCACATCCAACAAAGTCATCCAAGGTAAGTTACCTGCTTCCTAACTTCCACCTGAGCTGAATTGAGGATGGGCTGCTTTCATGCAGAGACCTCAACTACTTGCTTCATGTTCCCTAGACTAGCAAATCACTCAAATTCACACTGCCAAATGCACACAAAAACTATAGTCAAATAAGTGCTGCAACTCGGCACTGAGATAAGGAGGTAGCACTGCCCGCTGAGAGGCCTAAAGTCCAGGTAGAAGCTCTGCCCTGTGCCCTGGCAGCTGTGCAGCTCACATTGGCCACCCCATTGCTAGGCTCACTCCCAGCCCTCTCCAAAGGAAGGCTGCCGCTCTGCTCTTGCAGGGAAACTTCGGTGGACGATTCATAGGAAAAATGGTAATTTCACATACCTATAAGATACCAACACTCAGATGGCTTTGCAAGTTCATGTTGTCAAAGCAATGTTGAAATAGCATTTTGCGCCGGGCTCGGTGGCTCAGCCTGTAATCCCGCGCCTTTGGGAGGCTGAGGTGAGTGGATTGCCTGAGCCCGCGGGGTTCCAGACCCACCTGGGCAGGCGAGACCTCAGATCTACAATAAAATCAAAAAATTAGCCGGGCGTGGTAGCGCACGCATATAATTCCGGCTACTTGGAAGGCTGAGGCGGAAGGATCGCCGGAGCCCAGCAGGTCGAGGCTGCGGTGGCCGGGAGCGGCCATTGTGCTCCAGTCTGGGCGACAGAGTGAGACTCCAACTCCCCAAAAAAAAAAAAGCATTTTGCAGAGAGCTTTTAGGACATGAATCTAGATGTCTGAGGCACTTAGCCAAAAATATAGAACAGTGGTTCTCAACTGAGGTGTCGCACACAGTGGTATTATATTCAAAGTAATCTTACTAATAATAGTTAAGAGTACCAAAATCACAAATGCTTTCTTCTCACATTACGCTCACTTACTCGCGTCCCTGCAAGGTGTAGCCAGAAGCCTCCGTTATCACTGCTGTAGTTCAGATGCTGTCGGGGCCACGCAGGTGAATGGCACCTGACATCAAGATGGACAAGGCTGAGAATCGCCTGGCTAGAGAACACTGCATCAATTTGATCTTACTGTATTATCTCCCATATGCAACACCAAATGGAATATTCTGTACACTATACCTCAAGAGACCCCGACCAGAACATAAGCTAGAAGAAAGGAGAGATGGAAGAGCCGGCGGGAGGAGGAAGGCAGCGGGGCATTCCTCTTGTCCTTACCCGGCCAGCCCCTGTGACCGCCAGACCCCGTGCAGGGCAGACAGCACGTTCCCACTAGCCGTGCTGGAACCAGCCTGCAGGAACAGACAGAGGACAAATCAGTTATCTTCTCAGCTCCCCAACTCAGCTGCATTGGATGCCCTCAGAGGCACAGCTCCCCATCACCCTCATCCAGGACACTGTGTCAGCTAGACTGGGGGTTCCTGGCAGTCAGGCCGTGCCACCCAGGGGAACAGCCTTTCAGAGCTCACCCAATTCCTGCCAACAACTGTGTAACAGGAAAAAGACTGAAAGCAATATGAAGGGATCCGAGGAGGATGGGGGAGCATCAGTGTAAGGGGGACAACTATGAAACCTGCCTAAGCTGCTGGTAAACACATTTAACAAAGGGTACCATGTTCACCTTAAAACATAATCAACATCCTTAGGTTGGGAGCAGTCAACTGTGTATTGGAATTCTCCCTGTATTTGTTCTACTTTCCATAAAGATAGGACTTTTAAGAAACTGGTTCAGATATGTGTATGGCATTCCTTGAACTCTTGGTTTAGTTTTTTTTTAACTTTTTATTTTAAAGATGTGGGGTACAATTTAGGGTTGAGTATGCAAATGTTTATTATGTAGGTACCCTTGGGTTGCTTTGTTTTTGAAAGCAGGATTTATTGAGAGGACAGAACATCTCCCAGTGGGAGGGGACCCGAGGAGGTTGCCCTGGCACCTTTGTTGATGAGGTGGGCATCCCCCCACTCCCCTGGCAGTTTCCCACGACTGCCAATCCCTTTCTCATAGTATTATGATAACTGTTCAAGGTCTGCTTATGAGTGAGAACATGTGATACTCAGTTCTTTGTTTCTGTGATAGATCACTCAGTATTATAGACTCTAAGTCCATTCAAGTTGCTATGAAGTTCATAATTTTGTCCTTCTTTATGGCTACCTCTTTTTTTCTTAATAATTTTTGTCTGTCACAAAAATTTTTTTAATTCTGACAACTTTCTTAGCTCATCTGGTCAAGGCCAAGCATGGCCTTAAGTTCGGTGCCCATAGCTTATTTGCTGCCTGGCATTAGTCAGCCTCTTTGAGACTTAGGTTTGTCACCAGTAAAAACAGAGTTTATTGGAAAATAGTATTACCCAGACAGTGGCTCTACCAGCCCTGCTGGTAGTGAAAAAGATTTTGAAATGGTAAAATGCTATACAGTCACTGACCTGTCTCTGCTATGGATATTGTTCTATCAATGCTGGTTTCACTCGTGCTGGTTTCACCTTATGCTGTTTCACAAGCAGCATAAGATGCTATTAAGTGCTAGACCATTTTTACCTACTTTATATACCTATAGTCCTAGTGCTGGTAGATATGAGTATCTGTAGTGTCCACATTACATTAGTTTACCACTTACCTTTGCCAACATAATTCTTGTCTTTGCCACATCCAGAGGCGTGGTGACTGCAGCGGCAAATCCACCTGTGCACACAAAACACCCGGCACACAAGTGAGACACTGTTGACTGCACGATGTGGTCATTTTGTTAATTTGCGAATTCTTGTAACTCTGCCAAAGTGACTCCTTTATCATGTCAACTTGACTGCGTCAAGAACAGGATGCACATCTGCAAACTCTTTATCCACCTGCTTCATTTATTTTGCAGTGATGTAGTTTTGCACAGAAAAGAGATGTCGGAAGATGTCTTACCTGCTCAGATGAAACAGCAAGGCTTCACAGTACACCTTGCTCTTTCGGGGACTAGCAAATGACCGTGGGTGTCTAGGTATATGTACGTACGGGAGCTCTATGGACACATATGGCAGATGTATATCTGGCCAGATGCCCACTCTCCACAGGCTCCTGCTCCTCGTGGTTCTGAGGGCCCAGGCCTTGCCACGAGCCACTGTTCTTTAACTCAAAATGCTACTGTCGTTTCTGCTCTGTTCAGAGCCAGATGGACAAATAGAGTCACATGTGTCACGACAAGGATTTTTTTTTAAACTAAATGGCTAGGTTCTTCAAGTTAAAAGAGCAAAGCATTCTATATTTCACAGGTGCCTGATAACAAGCCAGTTAGAGTTACTACATTTTTAAGCTTTCTTCTGCAGCTTCTGAGGGTCAGTTTTGCTTTAAGAGGCTTTCTGCCTTATGACTCCCTTCCTACCTTCTCTCATGTTCTATTTAAATGTATTTTAAAATCCAAGAGGTTCTAAAAGGGTTTCAAAAGAGTCGGCTTCCATGACTGGGGGAAAGAGGAGGTTTTATAAGGGCTGAAGAGGACACACGTGTGTGAAGAGTGCTCCAGAAATAGTACCACTCTCCTTCTTGCTTTTGTGGCTAGTGGACTAGAAGGTCACTTGAGCTCTGCCAAATATCTTTCTAAATATATTGCTGAAATAAGATCATTACACTGACCCTCCTCCATATGGTAACATTTATACGACACTGGCTTTTGTGAAAGGTGTACCTATTTATGCTTTCGTGTTCCATTTTTGGTTACCCATGAACATCACACACCTTCGGAATGAGGTAGATGAATTGACATGATTATTGGACTCCCCCTTGTTCTAGCCTATTTGAATTATGAATATGTAAAATGCTTTGTTCCTAATCCAAAGGCTGCCCGCCATTCAGAGACTTGTGCAACTTTGGGTCTTTTAACATTTCCTGAAATCTACTCATTTAATTTTTTTAAGCCACATATTCTGCCCTAGAAGAGTAAACATACTTTTTTTTTTTAATTTGGAGTCTCACTCTGTCACTCAGGCTGGAGGGCAGTGGCACACTCACAGCCACCCCAGCGTCGACTTGCTGGGCTCTGGCGATCCTTCCGCCACAGCCTTCCAAGTAGCTGGTACTACAGGCGCGCGCTAATTTTTTTTTTATTTATTGTAGAAACAAGGTCTCACCAAGTTGCCTGGGCTGGTATCAAACCCGCAGCCTCAGGCAATCCACTCGCCTTGGCCGCCCAAAGTGCTGGAATTATGGGCTGAGCTACTGAGCCTGGCCATAAATATATTTTTACTATAGGTTATAGAATAGGTCCAGGAAAGCTACACACACACCCCTCCTAATAAAGGAAGAGAAGGGAGAAGGAAAGAAAGGCAACTAATATATATTATCCCAAACTTCCCACACCCCAAAATATTGTATGTGATTTTGTCTCCCTTACCAGCAGCAAGGTCCAGCCTGAAAGAATCCTTCTTTTGAGTCAGAAAAACCAAGGCTTAAATCCCAGGTCTACCAGTTGTCTGGCCTTAGGTAATTACTTATTCTCTAGTTGAAGTCCCTTATGAGATGGGTACTCTTAGTACTCCAGGCTACAGGAGAGGAAACGAAGCTTACCGAGGCTAAATAACTTGTGCACGGTTTTACTTAATGCAGAGCTGAGACCATCTTAAGTCTGTCTTGACTCCAGAACTGAAGATCTTGGCCACTGATCTTCTAGGGCCTTGGTTTTCTCATGTGTAAAATGCATACGGTAATATGACACAGGGATTGCACGACCCTGTGTAAAGTGTTTCGAATAGTGCCTGGCTCACAGTGTGCTCAAAGTGTTCTTTTCTGGGTGGGCGGAGCTAGTGATTGATTTTTCTTCATATTTCTTTCTAGTCAGCACATAGAGCAGGTACTTGGAAATGCTTACTCTGGACAAGTGTGATAGTTTTTACAAACTGACAATTTCAACTCATCCTCTAAAAGTAAGGATACAGGTAGGCACTAATGCCTGTGGTGTGCTTACTTCGTATCTGGCGGGCCAGGAATACACTAGGCATTTTCATTGATTATTTCATCTCATTTGCGTAGGTATTACCATTCCCATTTTACAGTCAACTTGCTTGTCCAGGGCCACATAACTGGTATAGAATCGGGACGCAAAGTCACATTATCTTGACACTGTAGTAGTTCTCTTTCTACTGCATGATGCCTTTGGTACGGGATAACACAAATTAATATTTTTCTTATTGTTAAAGCTCATTTTCCTATCTGAAAATGTTCACACACTGTCTCAAACCAATTTAAAACATGAAAAAGCTGACAAGGAACATCTAATAAATTTGGTTACTCCAAATCAAACTTATTTTGGCCATTAGCAAAGGTTTATGATTCCTTTACCAAAGATGCCTGCCAACGTTCCCTTACAAATTTATGTTTCATGAAAATAATATGAAAAAAGTTACAGACAAATATACTTACTATCATGGTGGAAGCTGTAGCTTATGCAAGTTACTAATAAATCAATTTGTCTTCAAATATCAGCAATTTGTTTAACTCACAGACCTCACAATGTTTCCATAAGGCTGCTAGAAGGACTTTTGAAGATAATATAATAGAATGACTGGGCTAGGCTCAGTGGCTCAGCCTGTAATTTCAGCACGTTGGAAGGCCGAGGTGAGTGAACTGCCGAAGGCTGCAAGTCTGAGACCAGCCTGGGCAACTTGGTGAGACCTCATCTCTACAATAAATCAAAAATTAGCCAGGTGTGATAGCACACGCCTGTAGTTCTGGCTAGTTGGAGGGCTGAAGCGGAAGGATCGCCGGAGTCCAGCAGGTCAATGCTGGGGTGGCTGTGAGCATGCCACAGCCTAGGTGACAGAGTAAGACTCCAAAAAAAAAAAAAAAAAAAATATATATATATATATATGACTGGTCATAATAGGGAGAGGCAGGGGGCCAGTACTCTCCATTAAAATGTAGTTATGTTCTACCTTTTATTTAAAAGAACACTAAGTTAGTGGTAGTAAATACAAGGAACATTCTAGCATATTGGACGGGAAATAGTTATTTGGTACAGTGACTATAGGCTGCTTTTGTGTTCAAATCACTTGTGAAGCAATCCTCCATGATCTCTACTGGAGTCAGGTTTGTACTGAATGCCAAGGTTAACTGCTTTCAAGGGCTGGATTCAGGGGAAACTAGACTTTTACGACAAAACGACATCTTACATTTCAACAAAGACAGAGGCTCTAACCTCTCATAGACAAAGTAGCCACCCTCCCATAAAAGACTGGAGGTGTCACCTCTGAGCTGCAGCTGAGAATGTGGTGGGGGTAGCAGTGGGAACCCCCAAGCTCACACAGGGCACCTTGCCATCCATCGTTCCTCCAGGCTCCGCTCTACCCTGAGGAGTCTGTGAGGAACTAGAGCACATTCACGCACCTCCTATGCATGATCTCTAAACAAGTGTCCAGGCGTGGAAGATTCCACAAAAACAGAAGATGAACATGCTTTTGTTTGCATTTTAAAGACTGTGTCAGGCCTTCTCAGTTGTTACCCAAACAATCCCTCACCCTGTTTTAGAACTTCAAGACCATGGAGAGATTGCAATCAATCTATCCCTCTCCCCCCCGCCCTGCCCCCCGCTCCTCCTCACCCATTCTCTTCTAGAGAATGGAACGTGTTTATTATGAGAAACTGATCAAAAGATACCAGAGTACCAAATATCACTACAGTGGCAAATGTCATAATCACTAAGACTGCACTATGGGTCTATGTTTAGAAGTTAGCTTCAAGTGAGGAAGTTGGCAAAGTCCTTTTTTTCTCCTAGTTTAACCCCTGACCAGAAGCCAAGGAAATTTCTGGGCATGACAAGCCATCAACACTTCCAATCTCAAGAGACTTATTTGGCCATCTGGGCCAAGTGGTTTATAAAACAAGTGTGGGCAAGGAAGAGTGCCGAGGATGGCACAGAGAAGGGTTCATCTGCAATGAGTTAGCCAATTTAGACTTGGAAAAGCACACGGGGATGAGAAATCTGATTTCTGATCTGAGGGCAAGTTTTATCACCGCCTTTATGGCCATGTAAGGGTAAAGCGTCTGCAAGTGCAACGCATAAGCATTTTCCAGGGGCTGCCCAGGCTGGCAAGTTATTATTCATTTCTCTATACTGGGTAACGTGCAATGTTGCAACAAACTCTTACAGAATATCACTTTTTCACAATTTGGAATATTTTCAAATGATGTTTATCCTTCAGAAATGTTTTAAAATAGTAAGCTTATTCCTCTGGATCAACATTTGTACCAAATAAAATTTCAAAACAAACAGGGATATCAACAAGAAATGCATTTATCTTTTGCTAAACATATGTGGGTCTGCTGACAAGAGATTTTTTTTGCTGGCCTTGGACAAACTCCTTCACTTATCAGACAGAACCTCAGCTGAAAAAAATAAGGTGCAATATAAGGAATTTTTTAAATCCCAGGCTACTAGGAGAAATTACTTTATATGGTAACTGTACTGATATGATAATCTTTTAATTAAGAAGACTGATTATTGGGAAAATAGTTTTCATTTTCTGGGTGTTGGATGTTCTTATTGAAACAGTAATAATTCCTTACATCTGTTCAGTTTTGAAGACTGCGAAGTACCTAACATATACAATATCAGAATCCCTGAAGTAACCCCTTAAGGTAGGAATGGTTGCTTCTATATTACAGGCGAGGAAACTGGCACTCAGGAAGGCCTCAAAGTCTCCTTCCCAAGCTGGGGACGGATAGAGACTTGAGAAGCTTTTGAGTCAGACAACTCAGCCTTTGCTAGACGTGTGGCTCTGGGCATCTCATCCCTTCTCTGCATCCCAGTGCCAATGGTTGTCCCTGGAGCACAGGCTGAGTTGCTACACTGCTCAGGTGAGCCACCGAATTTCCCTCCTTCTGACAGTGTAAGTGCTTAGAGCCTGTTGCAGAGTATTACCCAGACAAGGAGACTGTAATGAATGCAAATTTCCTTAATAGTAACAATGTATCTACAAGCAAATCTTTGAATTAGGTATATAAGGAATGAGACCAGAGAATATATACTTCTTATTTCAACACATGGAAGTTTTATAGTATTGTTAACTTTAAGGAGGAGTCTTCCTTATCCAGGATGACTAAATTTCCATAACGCACTCACTTTGTCCTCAGGGCCCAGGAGACAGACAACAAAAATGCACACTTCTCTGACCTCTGGACAATGAATTAAGACCACCTACTTACTCAACACAGCTACTGACTATGTGTCATCTGGAAACAATTTACCATCATAATCAGTCTGGGTTGGTTTCATATCTAGTGCCAAGATCCTTAATTTTAATTGTCAATTCTACAAGTCAAATGTGTCTAAGTATTAATAAAGAATCCTATAAAATGTATGTTTTCTGTTTTCCCAATCGCTACAACAAAAACTCAATGCAACACCCATTAAACAAATTGGAAAAGAATTATTTTCCAATAAAGTTGACACCCTAAACCTACCTATTTGTCAATTTACTGGCTTCATACCTAAACTAAAAGTTTATAATTTTCTGGCAAATTTCCACTGTTTTATTTCAACTGTAATTCTAAGTTAACTTTATTTGTAACAACAAAATGTATTTCTCTCTTAGGCTTTTAAACGTATCACTTAATAAATTCTTTAAAGCATCTGAGTTCTCATTAAAACCTCACTGGAAAATTCATATGACTTAGTGATGGATAACACGATATTGCATATTGTCACTTTGCTCTTGCTTTAATGCCTTGAAAATGCCCAGATGTGTAGATCGCCATATTTTCTACACAGAGCAGTTTAGCCTTTGGTAAGCTGTGGAGGAGCCTGTGCTCTCCTGACACTAGTTAATCTACAGCACTGTCAAACATGTCACACGAACCGTGAATCACTGCCTTCTGCAGAAATCGCTTAAACCCCCAAAGCACTGCTCAAGGCAGACAGCTGCACGGTCAGCCCTGCACCACAGCAAGTCTCTTCCCACAGAAGACTTCATAAATCATCTTTAAGATAATCCCAGGGTCTGAGCGAAGGCTTTAATAAAGATAAAAAGAAAAAGAAAAATTTGTCAAAAACAAATTGGTTGTCTTTCAGGCAGACACCTTTTTTGCAGTCTCCCCCGCCCCTCCCCCAAGATACGTTCTTTTCTCAAACAACTAGTGGAACTCTCTTCATCTAAACAATCTGGAATTTCTAAAGAATGTTGTTTTTGCATAGTGAATATTTTCACATTTTTCTCCCCCTCTTTGGTCTTCCCAGTATAATATAATCCTTTGCACCTGCAAAAGCTCCACAGACTGCTGACTGCCAAGAATCCACCACATGATTCTGCCTCCAGGACCAAAGGGCCTGTGTTTAAGGAGAAATAAAAATACAAGTTATTAAATATTTGAATTTATCGGAACCTCCTGTGGGTTAGCTCTGGGGATGGGAACTTAAGTGAGAAGCTATTTTGGTGGCATTCTTGACTGATGACATCAGTGACTTTCCCAAGGACTTAACTGCATTCGAAAATCGTCCAAGAAACGAGGGTGAAGGCTATATTAAAGTGCTCAAAGGAACATATTTCTGGGGAATAAGTGTGATACACACACACACACACACACACACACACACACTGATCCACAATTAAGAGAGTGAGCCATGACCCAACATAGTTTTCTTGTGTCTCTAAGTAACTCCTCCTTCCTGCCTTTCTTTACTGCGCCCCAAGCAATCTGATCTGTCATCCCAGATTAGTTTGCCTTTTCTAGAACTGTATATTAATTTCATCATATACTAATATTTTTAAAATCTGGCTTCTTTCGTTCAGACTTAGTTTATGATTCAAACACGTCATGCAGATATCAACAGTTCATTCCTTTTTCATTGGTGAGTAACAGTCCATTGAGGATATAGCATGACTTAGGTATTGTCCTGCCAATGAACACATGGGATTTTTCCAGTTTTTGGCTACCACAAATAAAGCCACTGTGAATATTTGTATAAAAATCTTTATGCAAATACTCATTTCTCTTGGGGAAATACCTAGGAGTGGAATAGCTAGATCACATGGCAGACACATGTTAAACTGGTTTTTTTGTTTTTGTTTTTTTTGGGGGGGGGAAGGCTTTGAGTCAGAGTCTCACTCTGTCACCCAGGCTGGAGTGCAGTGGCATGCTTATGGCCACCGCAGCCTCAACCTACTGGGCTCAGGCAATCCTTCCACCTCGGCCTTCCAAGTAGCTGGAGCTACAGGTGCGTGCCACTACACCAGGCTAATTTTTTGATTTATTGTACAGATGAGGTCTTGCCAAGTTGCTGTAGAGATGGGGTGTTGCCAAGTTGCCCAGGCTGGTCTCGAACCCCTGGGCTCAGGCAATTCACTCACCTCTGCCTCCCAGAGTGCTGGGATTACAGGCATGAGCCACCGCACCCAGCTAAACTGTTTTCTAAAGTGATTGTACCATCATTCCCATGAGTTCCACCTTCTCCACGTCCACCATGAGTTCCACCTTCTCCACATACTTCCCAATACCTGGATAGCCAGCACTTTAAAATTTTAACCATTCTAAGACATGTGTAGTAGTATTTCATTGTGGTTTTAACTTGTATTTCCCTAATGACCAATGACGCTGAGCTTCTTTTCAGTACTTACTTGCCATCCACATACCTTCTCTGGTGAAATATCTGTTCAACTGCACATTTGTATTGGGTTGACTTACCTAAATTATTGACTTTTGAGAGCTCTTTGCATATTACAGACACAAGTCATTTACAAATATTCTCTTCTACTGTGCAGCTTGTCTTTAAAAGTATCTTTCTTTTTTTTTTTTTTTTTTTTGAGTTGGAGTCTCACTCTGTTGCCAGACTGGAGTGCAGTGGCCGCTCCCAGCCATTGCAGCCTCGACCTACTGGGCTCTGGCGATCCTTTCGCCTCTGCCTTCCAAGTACCGGAATTACAGGCATGCACTACCACGCCCGGCTGATTTTTTTATTTATTGTAGAGATGAGGTCTCGCTGCCCAGGTGGGTCTCGAACCCGCGGGCTCAGGCAATCCACTCACCTCAGCCTCCCAAAGGCGCGGGATTACAGGCTGAGCCACGGAGCCCGGCTAAAAGTATCTTTCAAAGAAAAGATAGTTTTAATTTTGACGAACTCCAAATTATCCTTCTATGAATCTTGCTTTTGGTGTTACATATACAAAATCTTTGCTAACCCAAAGTCACGAGGATTTTTCAATACTGTGTTTTCTTCTAGAAATTTTGTCTTTAGGTTTTATATTTATATCTATCATCCATTTTGAGTTAGCTTTGATATATGGTACAAGGCATGGATTGAAGTTCTTTTGTTGTGTTTTTTACATATGGATGTTCAATTGTTCCAGTAACTGGAGAAGAAAATCCTTTCTCCAGTAAACAGTCTTCTCACTTTTGTCAAAAATTAATTGTTTATGTATGTGTGAGTCTTTTTTGAACTCTCTATTCTGTTCTAATCTATAGATCTATTTTGCTGTCAGTTCCATACTTTATTGACTACTGTAGAGCTTCAAAATAAATATTGAAATCAAGGTAGTATTAGTTTTCCAAGTTTGTTCTTTTTCAAAATTGTTCTAACTATTCTAGGTTCTTTGAATTTCCATATGAATTTTTGAATCAGGTTATCAATTTCTACAAAATAGCCCACTGAGGCTTTGATTGGGATGCAATGAATCCATGGATCATTTTGAGAGAACAAAGATGTTAATAATACTGAGGCTTTTTTCTCATAAGCATGGCATCTGTCTCCTTTTTACCTGGGCCTCCTTAAATTATAGCACTGTTTTGTAGTTTTCAGCACATAGTTCTTGCACTGGTTTTATTAAATTTGTCCCTAAATATTTGATATGCTTTGAAACTACCGTAAGTGGTACTGTTTGCTTTTTTAAATTTCAGTTTCTGGTTGTCCATTGCTAATACATAGCAGCTGATTAGCAACACAATTGATTTTTGCATGCTAATCATATATTTGGCAACTGTGCTAATAAACTTATCAGTTCTAGTAGCTTTTTCTGCAGAGTCCATCAAGTTTTCTACACAGATGATCCTATCAATAAAGACAGTTTTACTTCTTCCTTTCCAATTAGGATACCGTTTATTTCTTTTTGTTTTACTTCACCAGGCAGGACCTTTAGCATAATGGTATGCCCTGCAATAGTGACCATGAATATTACCAAAAAGACCTCTTGACTATACCCATTTAAATCGTTAGAATAGTATAATGAATCACTGAGAGGCGCAACGTATTTAGGGATAATAAAACACATCACAACTGAAAAAAGAACAGCAAAGTTAGTTTGTATCTCCTACTCTCAATACTTCCCAATGACAAATGTATCTGGAAGGTGGAGAGGGTCACTAAGAAGATGGAGAAGATGCCATATAAACCAATCAAGACGTATAAGTCCTGTTTTACTTTGTCAACTTTAACAACTTCTCTTAAGTCAGATACCTAGCTGTATCATCTAGCTAAGAGATGTGCTACATCACAGTGTTTGGCTTCTAAGGACCCCAATATCTCCTTCCATCCAGGCTAATGAAAATGATTCTCTGAAAGTGTATGTATTCAATTTACTAGACTAAGAGTGCAGCTCTCAAATAGATTTTTGTAATCTTGCTTGTGAAAGGAGTTAAGTATTTTTTTTAAGAAAATATTTATTAGAAACAGGTTTCTAAAAATAGCACTGCCATTAAGTGTAGTATTTGGTATATTTTCAGTAAACATTCTAATGTTTGCCAATACATCTATGTGCTTTAGTAGAAAGCACTGTTTTCTGCAGAGCACTTATAAGCATTGGAGAAAGAGTAAGAAACAAGAGAGTAGAAAAACATCATTTAACTCTGAAGATGGCAAAATGAGTATTTTATCAGGCTAACACCAGTTTTAACGCCACTACTTACTTCACCAACTTCTTAGAAAAGCAAAGTGAAACATAAGCTAGGTTTCTGTGGATGACTGGTCATTTTCAGTTTATCTACTGATATCTTCAAGGGCTCCACAGAGCAGAGGTTTACTCTGAACAGACTTAAAATACTAGTACTAATGCTGAGTGTATAAGCCATAGTAAGGAACAAATAACAAGATATGGATCAGATGTCATACAGGAGGAAGAAATCAAAGATGTCATGTAATTCATAAGTTCAACATTTGCTAAGTACCTACTAGCTGTCAGACACTGTAGACTCAAGGAAACAAAATAACAGTCCCTAGGTCTGATATCTGACAAAGGACGGTGGGGGCAGAAGGGGCTTAGAAAGGAGAGAAAGGAGGTGATGGAGAAGGCTCCACAGAGGTGCCTGATAAACAGTGCTGTAATCTATGGAGAAAAAAAAATTAGTTGCCAGGGGAAAAAAAGCACAGTCAAAATAGGCTGAGTTGTCTGAGGACATAGTTTAAAAATAGAATCTCCACAGATGAATGCAACTTTCCACTACCACCTGGACAGAATAATTAGCCTAAGAGCAGCATATCAGGAAGTAATTTGGGTCAGGAGTGGTGGCTCATGCCCGTAATCCCAGCACTTTGGGAAGCCAAGGTGGGAGGATTGCTTGGACTCAGGAGTTCGAGACCAGCCTGGGCAACATAACAAGACCTCGTCTCTACAAAAAAATAAAAAATTAGTCAGGTGTGGTGGTGCATGTCTGTAGTCCCAGCTACTCAGGCAGCTAAGGCAGAAGAATCACTTGAGTCCAGGAGTTTGGGGCTGCAGTGAGCTGTGATTGTGCCATTGCCCACCAGCCTGAACAGAGTGAGACCCCAACTCAAAAAAAAAAAAAAGGGAAATAACTTGGTATGTGAAATGGATACTAATGTATCTTAAAACAAACAAAAAACCTCTAGAAGAGGTTTAAAACCTCAGTGGCAATCACATAGATCATGTTCACAATAGCAACCACAAAACAAACTACATACAACTCACTGCGTCCAGGCATAAACACTTACATACATTAACTCATGTAATCCCCATCACAATCTCTTGAGGCATATGCAATTTTTATTATTTTGTCTTAAATTTTGAGTTGGAGTCTCACTCTCTCACCCAGGCTGGAGTGCAGTCGCACAGATCATGACTCACTGCAGCCTCGACTACCTGGGCTCAGGCAATCCTTCCACCTCAGCTGGCCAAGCACCTGGGACTACAGGAGTGCACCACTATGCCTGGCTGATTTTCTGCTTTTTTGTAGAAACAAGGTCTCACTATGTTGTCTAGGCTGGTCTCGAACTCCTGGAACTCAAATGATCCTCCCACCTCAGCTTCCCAAAGTGCTGGGATCATAGGCATGAGCTACTGCGCCTGGCTGCCAATTTGGTCATTATTTTAGACAAGGAAG